ACACTGAACTTTTAGATAGAACTGACAGTGATGCTCATTTTGACAAGAACTGGTAATCGTAAAGTGCTGAGGCACACTAGTACATGGGCATCTTGAGGAAGCACAAAGTCAGAAAAAAAGCTGGTAAATCCATGGGTAGATTTCCATCTTCTCAATAGCAAGGCTGTGTATGAGGCATGGAGAAGGTAGAAGTCAGTTTTACTCCTGACACCAGGGTACCCATGGAGTCTTTGGCAAGCATTGTGGAGTTTGGTTGCTGCTTTGGGTTGTAGAGGTGAGATCTGACCATGTATTGTCTCCAGCCTCAGGCTGGTGTATTTCCTTAGGTGGTAGAAATCATGTACAACAAATTGCAACATAACTATTAGGCATGTGAATGATGCCTCTGAAAACTGACAGTGATTAATGTGGTTTCAGATCATCTGCAGTGTGATGCTCTTGGCCATTACATTGCTGTAGATGTAAGTGATGATTGTGCTGTTAGCACATTTCAAGCCCATCTGCAAATTTCTGAAAGCCCCACCATCACCCGTCATAAAAATGGAAGTCCACTTCTTGCATCCACGTTTTGTGTAGATTTATATATAGATATGTGTGTGTGTGTGTGTATTTAGAACTTTAAAACCCTTTCTGTGAATGTTTGTATCAATTTTTAAAAACCAGTCGGTGGATGCTACTCTGCTTTGCCCTTTTGGCTTGACTTCCTTAGGACATTCATATGGTTGTGTTTCACAGGAATAAATAGGAGGCAAATGGTAATTTTGGGAGTGCAGGAAAGCCACCAGTTCTTAGGGGTCCTGCACCACAGGCTCTTGTAGGAAGGTTTTCCAGTTCCATGCGGTGGCAGTCGCTTTTGGCTGCGATATGGCAGTGGCTGCTGCTTTGTTCTTGGAGCTGGAGGCTCCTCTTCAGCTGGTTGAAATGCTTTGGGGGTGCACAACTGCTGCTAAAAGACTGCACTCTAAAGACAGTAACTGCTAGGGAAAGAGCCATGACTCATCACGAGGTCCAGAGCTTGTGGTTCAGGAGCAGAAGCTGGATCACTAAGCAGGCAGAGCTGCTGCTGGACTGTTTTCAGGGAGCTCTTCATGACATGAAACTTCCCTGCAGCTTTGCAAAAGCCTGCTTTAAACATGGACAAGAAGGGATGTAGGTAGGAAACTGCAGTTGTGCCCATGTTATGGGCAAACCATCTATGGTTCTCAGATGAAATGTGATAATTTTACTGATAAATATATTTAAGTTTCCTGCCAGGGCTGGAACCTAGGCATCACAGTGGAAAGCAGTTCTTGTGGACTTAGCAATACTTGGAGAGTTAAAGTGTTCATGCAGCTTGGGGTCCCTCTGGTCCTGTTATTAGTTTTGTTAGCTGGCTCTAGGCAGTTTTCAGAATAATTTTTTTGGAGGTGTTCCAGCTGTTTTCACAGGTTGATACCACATTTTTTTCAGTTACCTTTGAAACCCCCCAACAGACTAGCAGCATGTACAGTGAAGGAGCCTGTATGGGTCATACCGGAAGTTTACCATCAGTTTCACTTTCCCTCAATAATAATTTTTCCTTCATCCCTTCCCACTTTCCTGATGACTGATAGGCTACAGTCTTTACTGAGTTATTTCACAACAGTAGAATTAGGAAGAGTAAACAGTATCCTTAATAATAAGCCATTTTCAAAGTTGCATAACTGAACTGGACTGCATTTAGGAACCTTACTCTCAAAATGATGCATAGTTAGAAGGAAAACTTCTGATCCCATTGTCATTACGACTTTTTATAATGGAAGGGCTGTTGAATTTAGAATATTTTCAGAGCAGGCAGTGTATTTTAAAATATCAGTATCTGAACTGTTTTCTGAGTTTTAGCACTAGATAAGCTTGAGGTCCATTTACACATTTAGTACACTTATTTTACTGTGTATAAAACAACTTTTATTCTCAAAGGTAAATATAGTGAACATTATTATTAAAATTTTGCATACAGCGTCAATGTCAAAATAATTTGTTTTGTGAAAAAGACCCTAGGTAATTAATACTTTTGTATCTATAATCCAATAAATTTTCTTTTAAGGCTTATGGTAAAGTTTTTGGAATGCCAAAAGGCATGTATATCATACTTCGATACTTGTGAAGCTAAACCTGTAAAGACTGACTTTTTGAAACGCTTAGTTCCACTCAGTCTTTGTTTTTATGAAATGAGAATGTGTTCTGAATACAAATTATTAGGATTTGGCCCCTGTTTTAAGTTTCTATACATCTTTGGGGAAACAGCTGCCTTTTGGTTACTGTGTACTTCATTCTGGCCAAAAAATGGCAGAATTAATATTCTGACGTCTCAGCAATTTTCAGCGTTATGTGAACAGCAATGTGTTTGCTTTAGGTCTCTTGATCAACAACGTTATGAACTGGTCATACATGTTGGCTATAGGCATAGAGAGACATCATGGCACTGTTTATTCCACGGTATCTAAACTGAACCTTGAGAAGTGATCAGGAACCTCTTTGTTCAGAGTTATGGGAGGATATCACCTGCATCTTATTTCTTAAGCAAATATTCTGCTTCAAAGAGATACGTGCCTTGCAGGCAGAAAAAGCAGCAGATGGTTGAAAGAATTAAGTAAAATGCCCAGGAAAGCCAGACTCATGATTTCCATCAACTTGAATTAGGGTCAAAGTCTCTTCTGTTTGCATCGTGATACTGTGCTAGTGTATTAAATCAATGTCAGCAACTTCCATTGAAATATATTGGTCGTTGGAGTTTGCTTAAGCAACGACTTCAACTTAAGTTTTTACTCTTATCCATCTTCAGACTTTATGCTTGCAGCTTACTTGTTGAGAAATGTACTGAATGGAGAAAACTGCCCTTTCCTATTCCTGTTGTTACTTGCAGGAGCACGTGGTCTGTCTAAATCAATAGCTTGTTCAATTCTGAGTTATCCAGGTGTGTTCTGCTTTTATCACATACCATTATGAACCCTACATTATCAAAACAGAGCAAGGAACTGGACAGAGTTAAGAAACCACAAGAGGGAATATCGAGGACAGGACATGTCTGACAAAAATTACATGGCATGAATAATGTGCTGGAGCAATGATTGGAGGGAATAGGACATTATGGCAGCCAAGGAATATCTAAGACATTTCAGAGAAAGCAAAGGAATGGAGTGTGGCATCTTCTGTATTCTAAGTTATATTTTCAGAAGTGGAGAGTTTTACCTGACTGTAAGGGAAATTTGATAAAAGCAGGAGGAATGTGCCTCCTAAGGAAGGGAGGAAAAGCTCCTTCACCTGGAGTCAGGGAGTTCCAGGGGATAAAACATGCTGTTGATGATGAGCTCTTATGTCCAGGACGTTGGCTGATATTTGTTTTCTACAGCTCCTGTGCTTCTTGAGTTAGTCAAATCCTTTCCAGCTTACACACTTCACCAGTTGCATTGCAACCCTTTGGATACATGGGATAGGGTAGTATTTGGCTGCATGTTCTTGACTGTTCTAAGTTTCTAAGGACATGGTTCCACATTTGATGGTCTTGATGGTGTGGAAAAGAAGCTTTAGAATACTAATGCCTGATGTAAATAATTCTTTTCTGTAAATGTTTTGCAAGTATATGCCTCAAAACCAGGCAATTAATTTTATTCCGTTAGAAACATCAAAATTTCAATAGAAAGCTGTACCAGCAAAATGCTTATTAATCAGCAATTGCAAGTTAATACTTGACAAATGTTTAGACTTAGACTTTTACAGCAATAGTTTTTTTGCTCTAGGATAACAGCAGATTTAAGGGTCAGAAAACTTACTTTGAGGTCCTAATATGTACTCAGAAACCTAATTTTGAGTGATCTTTATTTTTAATTCCAGTTGAAAAACTTTTAAAAATTAGCCACGTGGCTTGGATACATGTGTCTATTTACCTTTCTTTCTGATTGTTGATTTCTTCATTTTTTTTTAAATATAAGTGTGCAGTTACTTTTTTTTTTTCTACTTAATGGGTTCTTTCTGGAGATTCGGACAACTACAGTACAGGCTCTAAAGCCACTTATTTTCTGCCTAAACCAAAAATGAAAGTGACATAGATGTTTTGATGCTGATGACATTTTACAAGTGTACAGTTCTAGCAAGCATAATGTATCTTTTTTCAAAACAAAAAAATATTCCAGGTTTCAGAGTTGACTAGTACAAGCAAAAATTGATAGGTAATTAATGGAAAAGCCCATGAGCCTTATAGAAAAAAAAAAAGGGATAAATAGATCATGAAGACCTTTCCCTTATTTGGAAGCACTTTTTAAATGAGAGATTTTGATTTAAAAAAAAAAATCAGTAAAAAAATTTACCGAATATTACCTAATTCTGTGAGTTGATTTTGCAGATCTTTTGTTGTATCAAGCAGAACCTTCAGCAAGTGGTTTATTTCAATTTAGACCACTTTTCCAGCAAGACTAAGTTGACAGAATAGCAGAATCAGGCCCTGTAGTATGTGCCTGTAAAGCTCAGCTATTTCATCTCATGGCATTTTATGAATTTTATTCATAAAGGTTTCTTGTTGAGGGCATTATTGGTTTGAGTACTGTTAACAGTATTGGAGTACCAGCTGATTTTTTTTTCTAAGATGACATGGTTACTAGAGTTATTTTAAATAACTTTCAGATTCATTACATTCATTATTTCAACAACATATTATTGAAACAATGTGTTCAATGCCAGTATTTAGGAAAACTCCCATAATTACAACAATTACAGAAGAAAATTTCTAGTCAGCAGAGTTTCATTCATATAAATATGGGGAGAGTTTTGCATATTATAGCTGAGCTACACATGTAAAATAAACCTGCTAAATTAAAGAGCATTTGGTTGGTTTATCATTGTTTGCCTTAAAAATATCACCATCTTGAAAAAAGGAAAAAGAACTTGTGGGGCAGGACATTACACACTGACTTTTTGGAGGACTGTTGTTATGAATATCACCTAAACTCAATGGATAATCAATTAGATCTATGCTTTCTTTGCAGCTCTTTCCAAACACTTTTTTCTCCGAGCCCCGCCATTCTACTCAGCATGCTGCGGTGGGTCCTGTCAGCACCCTGCATCCCCCACTGCTTTTTCAAGTAAGTTTTTATGCTTCATCAGTAATGCTTGAGTTATTCTGTAAACCAAAGCAGCAGGATTTAATGTGTTCTGGAAAACTAATTGGTGATGCAATGGCAGCAGCTAATTCCTTAGTAAAATCACAGCAATCCTATTCAGAGGGTTTCCAAAGATTTATCAAACTTAAGTACACTGAGCAATTGTAAGAGGTTTCTAATTGCATTGAGACACCCAGACAGAGCTAACCTAGAAAAGTGCCTTGTTTTCAGTTTGCTAGAAACAATTCTTTAAAATCAGTAACTCTTTTAAAAATCAGTGTCAATAAACATTTGCAAATAGGAAAAGAGCTGGAGGATCGTAAAATGTGTGCTGCATTTTAATTTTGTTAGGGATAAATTATGATTCAGGAAGGCTTAGCTTTATTTAAATACAACAATCATTCTTTTTGTAGCAGTCAAATGTGTGCACATGTTTAATTTGTTTCTCTTTTTTAATCGTGTAAAAAATTGAAGTATGTTGAAGAGAATTATGACCAGTGTACACTATCCATTAAGGATTAAGAACTGGAACACACTTCCATTTACTCCAAAACTAAATTTAACCTTGATTGGGAAGATTGCATGCTATAGTTGAAGAATGGACAGTCGTGATTTTGTGCTTTTGAATGCAAACAGAAGCAGCATTTCCTTTTTCTTCAAAACAGAAAAAAAGGCACAAATTGCTTTTCAAATCCAAATGAAAATTGGAGCTTATACATGCTCTGGCATATACTTTTTTATCACAGTTGCATTCAAACCATTCCTGACTAAAGTGCATGCTTTTTATGAATGTTTTAGAAGGGCAGTTGCTAAGCTGAATGATTCTTGACAAGTGAGGCAGCAAATGCTGGCAGTTTAATGAGCTGCAAGTTTCTGAGCACCTCTTTAGGGGGCTGACACTTTCCCACAGAGCGTTTTACATGGCCTCGGCTCTCCCACAATGGCTGACAGCACCATGACCAATCACCACTTTCACTTTACTCATCCACACGCGACCTCACCACAATTTTTCACTGTGCAGATGAACTTTAGGAACCATTTCATATTGAAAAGGCCTGGGCAAGGGTCAGTTGCCCTTTTGTATGGCCATAAAGCAATACTCTATGTGCCAGTCTTTTCTCCTGTCTCACATTCCAAGAGATTTTCTGGACACCATTTAAAGCACTTGACTGAAAAATAAAGCAGTGAATGAAATTGACTTTTATAGACTCATTCTAGCTCATCTTCCCATATAACCCTGTCTACCTGAAAAGGGATTTAGTGGATGAGCTGAGTGTATACAGGGACTTGCTGAATACATAGGCCCATTATCGACTGTGGGGATTGTTTATTAACCAGGACTGATACACTACTATTTTGGAAGTGACCTATTAATTGTCCATTTAACCAGAATGTATTGAATTCTAATGAAAAAATGGAAACCATGACTAAAGCTTTTACTTGCTCCTTCAAGGTGGTCTCTGCTATGAAGGCAAATGAAGATTGTTCCACAGATTAAGAGAACATTTATCAATATACATTAGGATACAAAGGAAAGACTTAACAAAAATCAAACCAGCAACATAGGAAATAGTTGGTCACATTTATGTCAGCAGAACACTAAACCTTCTGCTGCATATTCAGGGTGACGAGCTGCAAACTGACTTATTTAATTTTGCTGGAATTGTTGAAACGTATAAATGTCTGTCTATCCCACTGCACTGAAAAATCCTGTCATCCACAAACTGAACTTTAGTTTCTGTGCAACAGTTGGAGTGCATTTTATAATATGGCTTATTTTTAAAGAAATTCTCTAGGCTACTTGGTGGTAGGTTTCAGATTTTTTGACACATAGGCTGTTTGTTAATGCTTCTGAGCATTCTACTCATCATTAAATTTTATTTAGTTAATCTTTTAAAATCCATCACATATTGTGGCTTAGAGAGTAAAGATGTCCCACTATTAAGTCTAATATAGGTGTTAAGCTGGACCCTACATACTGCCTGTACAGGAATTAATTGGTGCCTTGAGGCTCCAGCAGGAGGTTGTTTTCTTGCTGATTGACTGTTAACAACCAGCCAGGCAAGACAAATTTTAAGGGGTCACATAATTTGGTGTCCTCTGTCCTTGGCTGACAACTCCATTGTGGAGCAGAGGCTGGGAGGCAAGGACCAGCCCTGTTACGCCTCTTCCCTTGCTGGTGTCTCTCATCCCACAGTGGGGATGAGCGAAGGTACCAGTTCTGCTGCTGCCAGACTGTACCTTCCAGTAAACCTAAGAATGGCTGACAATTCAGCAGAAACTACGCAGAGGCTACCTGGAAAAAGATACCTAAAATCACTAAGTTTGCGAAGAAAAAAAGGACACCTGCTTGTGGAAGGAAGACTTCCAGGTTGCCCCCACTTTCGTGGGCATGATTGCAGCATGCAGTGGGGGCTCTGCAGTCGGCAGAGAAATATCAACCTGGCTTGCCCTTTGTGGAAACCTCCACTGTGGTATTTTGACTTTTGTTCTGCAGATTGTTTATTTTGGTTTGGATGAAGTCTGACTGTGTATCACGGTGTAATAAATATCAGGACATTAACCAATAGGTTATGATTTTTGTATCTGGTCTTAGGTATAATTTTGAAAGTTGAAATACATCTGTATAAAATAAGGGGAATTTATACTGTAATATTGTAAATCATAATTATTTTTTACCATACACTATTATGAGGGATAAATATAAAGATCTTGATTTCTTGACATGAAATGTTCAAGAAGAGAATTGACAGAATGCAATGGCTTCTAAATCAGGGGTAGTCATAACTCAGGGAATAATCATTATACACTTGCTCTGGTTCTGATACTCTCCTCTACTGCTCCGAGCTGGAAGCAGGATGCGGGGTAGTGTATGTAATATCAAACCAGTAACACATGGCTACAAAAATATTTAGTCAACTTTGCAAGACATACAGTTACACACTTCAATTTCTCATCGTTATACTACGGTATCCTCAGTATATGTGTGTTTGTTTTTCTGTGGGTGTTTAAAGATACATATACCCATGTGTATAATATACAGAAGTTGAAATGTGGCCCCAAGGAATACTTTGTGGAAGCTGCATCTGGATTTAATTCGTGTTTTCAAGAGCACTGTATCAATTGAAAAAATGTATTTAGTTTCCCCCCCACCCCATTATAGCTGACTAGAATAGATAGACTTTCACAAAAAAAATGTTTAGTATTTTAGAGAATCTGCTTTTCAGGAGGAATTTACTTTTTGGCTTCGATATAAAAATCAAATCCTTTGTAGGAATTGAGCTGTAACACACCTTTGCAGCTGCTGTAACTATAATCTGGGAGGGCAATCTAGGCCCATGGACATGAGAAGGTGGAGAACAGGAAGGCAGCTTGCAACTAAATTGCCACTCCTACAGCAAGATTATAGGTGTCTTTGGCTGTACAGCCATGGCACAGGCTTCTGAGCCAAAGTGCAGCTGTTTCCTGGCCTGCTTGCATCTCCCTAATTATCACATGCTGTGCTTGATGATGATTCAGTTGGTCCCTGCTCCTGCTTCCTGAGTATTTGAGGAAGCTGGGAGTTCTGGAAGCACATGAAGCCTCACCAAGGACTGCTTCTCATATGCCATGTCTTTTAAGGGGAGAGGGAGCATGGGAAAGTATTATGGCTTTAGGTTTTATTGGGTATGAGGAACACGAGAGATTTATCTTGGGGTTTCTGTGGTCTTTGTGTGAACACTTCTTCACAGCAGCTCTGTCCTGTTGCCAGCTTTGAGGCTGTTTTCCAGGGTAGGACTCCCTCTAGGCATGCATTAAGGGGATGTGATTAGATTCACTGAAAACTGCCCTCCCAGGTCTTTCTCTGAGATGTCTAATAAAGAAATTGCTGCAGTTTCAAGAATAACAAAATGAATGAGTACGGATTTTCTAGGAAATAGTTCACTCTGAAAGCCTTCATTAGTTAAAAAAAAAATAGAGGAAAACCTACTTAGTTTCTTTATTCTTAGTTTCTTCTTGAATCAGTATTACAGACCACTTTTATCTAATTTTGCATTCCACACAAGGAGTAAATAAACTCATAGGAAAAGTTGTTGCAGTTTACTCAGTGATGATGACAGGCAAAGAAAAATGAAGTTCCTCCCTGCCTGTATTTGAATTTTGCAGTAGCATGGGCTTTGTCCTAATATTCCTCTATGAACTCATCTGATTTCCTTTGTACCATGTCAGGAGGAGACTCTGGATTATTGACAACACCTCTAAATCCAAGCAAGGATTTAATCCTTAATGAACGTAACTGAAGCAGTACAACACACTTGTAATACCAACAAATCAAAAGTGGGACAAGAGTCTGCAAGCATTATAATGAACAGCACTCAATATTTTTCTGATATGTGCTAGATGTTATGGGAAACTCTTTTCTATTTCCACTAGGGGAGGAAAGTGTGCTGCCACTTCTGACCCAGGAGTCTAACTCCAAATCCCGGAGAGGCATATTAAGAAGAGCTGTCTTTTCTGAAGACCAGAGGAAAACTTTGGAGAAAATGTTCCAGAAGCAGAAGTATATTAGTAAAACAGATAGGAAGAAACTGGCCCTTAACCTTGGTCTAAAGGAGTCTCAGGTAAGTAATGTCCCTTTGGAGAAAAATCTTTAAAATTATTTTAAAGGAGGAAAACTAAACAATGCTGGGGCAACCCTGAGCTTTTTTACCTGCAAAGACCTTAGTAAATCAATGGCAGTTTAAACCAGGGAATACTTAAACAGTTTCCTGGTTTATTTCTTGTATGTATGCATTCAAAAATTGATTGTTCGATTTTTCACACAAAGAAACATGACTTCTGCATTTCATTTCCAGCTCCCTTTTTTTGCTGTCTGAAAGAACCTCATGGAATCTTTGGAGTAGGGAACTATGCTCCATCCCACTACTCTAAAGGCAGTGGAAAAAACATGAGAGCATAGATAATTCCTTCATTCCACTGCACACCCTTTGCACTCACAAATAAGCAACTAGGGACAAGGCAGTCAACAGCACTTCCTCTGGAACTGTTCTGCCCCAGGAGAGGCAGCCATTCCTATGGAAAGACACTTGACTGCACAAAGAAAGAGATTGTTCTGAGCTGAGAGATACCATAGGAAGAAAAACTTTGCAGGGTGCCCTTCTAAAACACTCCCACTTTACTTACCAATTCACATTTCATGGGATTTTTTGCATGAGTCTGAGTTGGTTTGCTGCAAGATTTTAGAGTTTAGCTGAGGGTCTAACGCCTCTAGTGAGCTGTTCTGATTTAACCGCTACATTAATAACAGCAGTAGCCCAATCTGGAATCTTGGGAGCCTCACCTATCTGCAGATAAAAGCAAAGGAAAAGTGCCTGGCTTGAAGAGCACAAAATCTGAAAGAAACTTGGAAAAAGGTTTGTGAGAGCATGTAACAGCAGAAAATGAACATGGTTAGTTGCTGACAGGTGGGATTCTTAAGGTGCTGGAGTAGATGTTGCCCTCTAGATTGCAGCTGAAATACTGAGGTGACAGTACAATTTTGTTTCTTTGCATGAAGTAGGAGTGAAAGATATATGTGTGCAGAAGCTGTCTGGGGGACAGAAAAGCCTGGGAATGGTGATGAGAACTCTCATCATCTTTATCTCGAAGATTTTCAGAGCTCTCAGAATGGCTCTCAACAATTTGATCTGTCTTTGCAGTTGGCTCCAGTTTGCACAGGAGGTTAGATCTGGTGGTCTGTGGTGGTTCCTTGCAACCTGATACTCTGACACCGTTGCAAGCACTGCAACAATAAAGAAAAACAAGCAGGGTGTGGTGTTTCTCAGTGTGATGTACAGAAGTGTAATCTGCAGGAAAACTATTTCAATGGAAATGTCCACTTGCACTCACCAGTGTGCTGCCTAAAAAAATTCCCAAGTGTAGTCAAATTCCTAATATTACAGTTATTTCCTCAAGATTATTTTCTGTGCTCATGTTATTCAAGAGAGCTTTGGGTTGTAAAAAATAATGTAATGATACATAGATAACAACTACTACTACAAGAATTAATAATTTCATGATCGTGACAGAGCAGATGATACTCATCTCTGTTTTTATTCCTCTCGTGAAAGGAAGAGAAGTTGCTATGACGGTTACTTCTTCAATTTTCTGACCAGTTGTGCTGGAGGAACAGTACCTGTCATCTAAGACAATGATTCTCAAACCTTTGAAACCATAGCCCTTCTGTCTTCATATCAAGTATTTGAACACTAGACCTAAATGCAAATGTTTAAGGGAAAAGAGAACACAATCGGAATAATTTGATTGATCACCTTCACCTTTTTTCTCTTCATGTAAAACCAGTTCCTTGTTGTGTAGTCCCTCAAGCTTTTCCCAGCAATTCATAAACGCCTTCGAATGCTTGTGTTTAAGAGTTGCACTTAAAGTTTTGAAAAGTTGATTTTATCTCAAAATCACATGGATTCTAGGCAACTCCTGGAAAACTGTAGTCAGGCAGACAAAACACCTTTAAATCCTCAATCCCATGTCCTGTGTCACAACGCACTTCTCAAAGCTGTATGGCCAAGCTGATTTTAGGTGTTCGTGGAAGGGACAGTCATGATTCTTACAGACTCTGTTTAATAGAAGCTTTCACACCACCAGTAATATCACTTAGTTTTCTTAGTGATGATACTAATTTTCTCTGGGAACTCTGTTCTGTCTAAAAGGATGTTGCTGTAGGAAACTCTTCTGTCCCTAGCTGTTGGGCTGTCTATTTTCCAATTCTAAGCTAAGTAATCACCTACTGTAGGTGGTGAAAGTCAAGGAGAACATTTGTTTCAGGTGTAGTAAACAGTGATGGGAAAATCCTCAGGTAATGTCAGTCAGCTGGCTTCACTGGATGTCTACTGTACAATGAATAAGGAAGGAATGTGAAACTAAGAGAATGGAAAGAAAAAAGCCACTTGTTATGGGCAAAGTTGTTTAAAGCAAAGAATGATAATGAACTCTCATTAACTTGCAAACAGGTGAAAATTTGGTTTCAGAATCGAAGGATGAAATGGCGAAACTCCAAAGAAAAAGAAGTGCTTTCTAACAGATGCCTCCAAGAAGAAGGTCTTCAGGAGAACTACCTCTCACGATCCACCATGAATTTTACCTCCCCATGCCCATCTGTGTGGGAAATGTCTGAAGAGCGGGGAAGTCCAAGGTGGAGGGAGAATTCTCCAGGAAGTTCTGAAAGACTGATTAGCACACAACCATCTCCAAGAGCAAATTCATTGCAGAGCCCACTCTATTTGTATCCTGACCAAGACACTGCAAACAAGGCATCATCAAGTGTGAGGGAGTAGGGGCAGTTTATAAATGGAATGGGAGAGTGCAGGCTTCAAATGAGCAGTCTTTTAAGATTAACAGTATTTGAACATTGTAAAGCTAACTAGTTTATGCTTCAAAAATATGCTAAAGTCTAACACCATTAAAATTACAAACAACTAATGACTTAAGAAGTATTCTTCAATATTCAGTCTTTTCTTGTGTCTTTTCCAGTCTTGTACTGACTTTAAAAGTAAAATATGAATTGATGGTAAGTAAAATGAAGAGCATGAAGCTGAATTTGATACATCTGCCCTGTATGTGATGCTCGTTAAAAACACACTAATAGAGAATCACTTTTATCTCTCATTGTAGTCAGACCCAATTAATTTCTTCTGTACATGAGATAAGAAGAACTCTGTTTCTCTCAAGACAGTAAGTGGTTTTGGGTTCTTTTAGAAATTCATTAAATAACACATAGATTCATATGGACAAATATAAGCATTTTTCTCCATCTGTCCTCACCTGTGTCAGTATTCAATTAGCTTTAAATGGTATCATCACAGGTCAACTGATAACCTCGGTAAAGTATGCAATATTAAAAGGCAACCAACCTACTCTATAAAATATTCAATGCTTAAGTAACTCTGATGAGATTGTGTACTAGAAAGTGCAATTCACTGACTTCTGTTTTTTTTGCCCATGCATGAATCTACTAGCATTCTTAACTCTGAATTGCAGTGTCTTTTTTTTTTTTTTTGGCTGTTGGTAGAAGCTTTTGTATTTCAAAACTGTAGTGACAGTGTGCAGAATTGTAGCCAAAATGTTCTAAGCAACTGACCCATAACTGGAAACATTGCTACTACATCCAGTTCAGAAAATTACTTATGGAGATGACATACATAGTAACATTATTCCTTACTGCTGTTTAAACTGGTGCCAGTAAGGACAGTATTCTGTGTAATACGAGTAGCCTCGAGTATTATTAAAGCTACTTAAAATTATTTGCTTGCTTAATCCAATTTAAGGAGATCAGTCTATGAATTTAGATGTATCTTTCTTTGTTTTATTTGCAAATCTTTATAGCTCAAAATGGGAGCATAACATTCATTTTCATTTATGGATGGCTTTGTTGAGAAGAGAGACTAAAGATACTTTATGTTGCAGGCAAAACCTTTTGGAGAACATTAGGTTTTATAGGGACTATTTCTGGTATTCGTACACTTTAGAGGTATCATAAAATTATGATAATCTAGTGTGGCTTTTCTCATCATATATGCTTTGAATGTGTCTGATTATTCTTGCCTTGAGCTCCAAATATTTTGAACTGTATTGTACATCTTTCAAAAAGTTGTGCAATTATTGTGGAGTAACGTGTTATTTAATGTTTTACCTTTTGATAGATGATCTACGATTCCCCTTGTTTCATTGTATTATCTGGGAGGTGAAGTTTAGATTTATTTGGAGCTAAAAAACTTGAGATTGCAATGATGATTCTTGTATCATAACATTTATGCAAGATCAGGTGAGTTTTGTATCTTGCCTTGTGCATATCCTGCCTTCTCCATGGCCAAATATGCAATCCGTGCATTATGTGGCATTCCTTGCATGTGATTTCCTCTGCTTGATTTTAAGAAAAAAACAAATTACAGAAGAATGAAGACGTTATCTCTTCCTGCATCTACGAGTCTTCGCTAGTGTAAGCTGCCTGAAGACCTACCCTCAGAAAGCCCTTGAACACGTGTTATATACTTGACAGTAATGAGAGGAGTTTATTCCTGTATTGCAGTTGAACTCCTGGAACCAACTCAGATCATGCAAGAAACCTTTGGGGTGGCGGGGGTGGGGAGAACAGACAGATTGTGTACACATGGGGATGAAGTTGGTGTTGAAGTTCTGCTTGAAGGACAAGCAAGGGATAGTAGCCCAAACAGTTGTGAAATGGCATTGCAGGTATTTCCAGAGAATCATTGAATGATCAGGTGGTGGTATGTATGTGTGCATATATTCATCAGTGCTTCCCATTTTGGAGGAAATCTGTATGGTAGGGGTGGTACGGTTTTTTTAATCTCACCTTTAATGGAAGGGGAGCCTCCCCAGCTGCTCATATTCTTTTACTGCAATGAAGCCTCATTGTTAGAAGCAACACTTCTGGAGATGGAAGATGCAATTCAGAATGCTCTTTGGGAAATTCTTGCAGTTCATGGTGTTGCAAGCACGAAATGTGAACTACAGTCAAAACTGTGAGTTGATGTGCTGAAGAGAATACATCTGAAGGCTGTCTTACTGAGGCAAAGATCAAGCAAAGCTCATGCACAATTGGTTTCACAGTTGTCCTATTACAGTGTTTTAAATTTAACAAGTTCTGGTTTCACTGTAGCCTTTAAACCATTTCAACGTTCTCCAAATCTTTTAACACCTCCTATCAATATTCTTACTCCACAGCTGGAATAAAATTTCAGTATGCCAGATAAAACATTCTTTACCTGAAAATGCTGATCAAGCTTTTTAAAAAACCCTGAAGTATACATGGAAATATTGAATTATATCTATAATAGTCTGGTTCAATTAAGATGTAGACCCATGAAACGTACAACCTTGGTTCCTCTGATTTTGTGCGATATAATGACATTTCCCTTTGGTCCATGCTGTGAAAACTCGGTAAATGAGAAATAACACCCTATACAAATACAAAAATATGTTTACAGTGCCAATCTTCTTTGTGAAGGATCAAGTAGTATTTGATTTCTTCAAATACGGTATGCATATTAGTTTTAGAAAGAACAAAGAGAGCACAAGTATGAAAATGCCCAGCAGATATTTGAATGGCTTCATAATAGACAGTGCAGAAGAGAAAGGTGTAGTGCAGCTGGTGTAAGGGAGTGAGTGATCCATACCAGTGACACCTGGGTTAAAACCAGCAATGTGCTACTTGGGCTTCAAAGATGTGACCTGATGGATGATCTTGCAGCATGGTTGTAGGGTATCTGAGTTATTTCCTGTGTGTAGCATTTTGAGACTATTATAGTCACCAACTGTGGAGTATTATGAAGGGCATTTATTGGGATCCTGGGACTGAGGAGAGTTCAGTTATCTCAAATTGCAAACTACAGTTAAAAACCTCATCTCTTCAGAGGCCACAAACAAAGCAGATACTCACACACCTCTTTTTTTGTTCTGGCAACTTATCAATGCTAATGTAATACAGCGTGCAACAAGGAAAGGGAGGAAAGGCTGAGGCTCAGTACTCTCTGTGTTAACTGAGCTGTAGACTTCCATGTTCTCAGGCTGTGCTGCTGATGCAGAGATCTCACTGCCCAAACCATCAGCCTTAGGAACAGAAGAGGCTCTTCTCATCCTACTTATTGAAGATCCTCCATATGGGTCTGAATGTAGCTCTTGAAATTATAATCCTAAAGTCAGGCAGAGGAGCTTCCCTGATACCTAAGAAGAGGCTGTTGATTTCCTTCTAGACCTGGCTCTCGAACTTTTAAAATTGATCATATGCAGATTTTTGCAGTCTGTGTCAGGCACAGCCACAGTCATATTTGACTGCATGTGAATGACTGTGAGCCTGTGAAAAGGAGAGGCCAGCTAGCTCCTCCATGGACCTCATATAACATTGTCAAAAGCTGGATTTGTTGACCACATCTGTGTCAGCACTTAAACTTTGGTTGTACAGATTTACAGTATAAAATGATTTCCTGAAAGAAAAGGTGAAATTATTGTCTTGTTTTTATAGATTCTTTGCCAAACAGGAAATAAGTGTTATGATCTGCTGAGGAGAACAGGGCTGCTTTAAGGCACAAAACTGCTTTACTAACTTCAGTGTCAGAACAGTAGTACAAAGGTCAAATGTCACTCCTGAGCTGCAGTAATACATCAGATTTGTTTCATCTGCTGTGATTTACTAGTACTGGGTTTTAAATACCAGTTGCCATCACTGTAGCCACACTGCTCCTCTGATGAATGTATGTTCTGCGGTCAAAAGACCAACATAAATTAAGTACATTCACATGCTTCAGCACTCTCTACCAACTAGACTGTTACTGATTTTCATGTACTAGAAGGAAAGGCAAACCAGTTTCATTATGATAGCTGTAAATCCAATGCCTTTAGAAAGGAACAGATAGGAATTAGGGTCCAATTAACTTGAGACTCAGTTTTGAACCATGGGGAGACCAAAAAGCCCCTACTGAGAAAGGTTCACTGTGGATGAAATTGTGGTGGACTGAGGAAGGCTTTAAATGAGATGCTTCTAAGCTATGTACCTATTGACTGCTGTTCGCCTTTAAGGTAAACTGGGATAGTTAAACCTGGGTCTGAAATGCTCCCATGCAGACTTGCACCAAAATTCATGGCCAGAAAATGGCAACTCCTTGTTTTTATATTGATTGTAATTTTGAGCACTGAAGCTGGGCATGGTGGACAGGGATGTCAGAAGGTAACATCTCTGTAGTGATCTTCCAGTGCTTGCTAAAGCACCCAGAAATGTCACTTTTTATAAGCATCCAACCCTTGAGGAATTCTTCAGTTTTTCCAAGTAGTTTTTATTTACAGGTCAATATTTGAATGCAGGTAGCTGGACATGGATGTATGGTGTGCAAAGAAGACTGTTTCAATATTTTTCTGTTTAGATACGAGCTAAACTACAAGTGACATTAGCCACTTAATCTAGATGGAAACAGCACATAAAAGATTCAGTCTAAATTTAAGATACACTATCAAAACCATTTAGCACACTATGAAAGGAACAAAATGAATTTTCAGTCACTAGGAGTGTCTGTTTTATCCTTCATCATTCTGAAAAAAGGGAAACATGATGGGGAAATCTGATGTACAAAAGCCAGTTCTAATAACTGAAAAAAAAAATTAGACTATACAAAAATGTCAGTGTTCTGGGGTTATCCTTCAGTGCTTCATGGGATAAGGTATGAAGAACAATGGAGATGTTTTTAATTCTTAAATTTATTTGATTGACAAGAAAGTTTAATGGAAACAGATTGTTTCACAAATGGAAATTATACCATTATTTACCTATTTTGTTGCACATGATGCCAGTGCTTAACTGGAAGCCTATCCTGATTTTCTGATTTTCCATTAATTTAATAATTGTTTATCCTAAATATTCTGATATAAATGTGATGGATTCTCAAACTCCAAAGTATTTGAGAACCATTTTACACTACCAAATTCTCCTAACCAGTTGTGCTGCTGTCTTGGAGGAAAGTATTCCCCTATGGAGAAAGCAACCATCACCGTATTTCTGTTTGAGGCATCGGTGGCCACAGAGAAAAGCATGCCCTTTTCAGCCCACTGCTCGGTTGTTTCCTCAGTCACAAGAGGAAGCAAGGCAATGCTAGCAATATAGAAAGGCTTTTGTTTTACAAACATGCCTCCTTTCAGCCAAAGGCAGAACTGAAATATAACACTAATGAGGATGAATGACTATGGATAACACTTCGCTGCAGTGTAGGTTCTCGTGTGCCACCCACTATCTCATTTTCTCTGTTTTCACATTTCTGTACAGCAGAACGTTCCCAGAGTTTAGCACTTGGGCGGAGATTAAAGGTTTTTGTATGACCTGCTCCCTTTACGACGTTTTCCACCTGACCCTCAGCTGCACCCCTGGGAGGTCCTGCCACCTGCGGGTACGGCTAAAATTTCTGAGTCACTTCGCAATTCGCTTGTAATTACTTGCCACCGAGCGGGACCATGGGGGCCACGGCCACCTCCCATGCTGTGGCAGCGCGGGGGGCGGCGCGTCATCCCCGTCCGCGGTGCCCCGGGGAGCGGGGCGGGCCATAGCCGGTCCGGAGGGAGCTTCCTGCCCTCAGCCTCTGGGACGCGGTGACACTGCCCGTGTCTGTCACCCCTCGCCTCTGACTCAGGGTGGCTGCCGTGGCTGCTGTGGCTGCCGATTATCCTGCCGTCACTTGTCTTCTCAATGAAGGCGCGGTTGCCTCGCTGCAGCGTTTGAGAGCCAGCAGTGATCCCTTACTGGCATGGGAGGCACACACCACTAGCGGGCTGCTGTTTTCCGGGACTGCGGCTACACCAGATGGCCGGATTGATGCTACAGCTATTAATTGCTACTACATCTCCTGTGATCACAGGTAGATAGAGACAGTGTGGGCATCCTGCTCTGATTCTGTCTGTTTGCTTGGAGGAGTCTTCCTTTTGCTCTCTTTGGAGCTGTGTTTTGTTTCCAGAATTGCCTCAAAATCTGCCCATGAATGCTACTATTTCATTATGTGTTTGTGGTATCTTACTGCATAAGGATCTGCACCTGGTAGCTTCTTTAGGGCAAGCACAATGTAACACATTGCCTTTCTACAATACCTTGCACAGCAGGGACCAGATGTGAGTTGTGAACTCGCACAGCCTCTAGCTGTAAAAGTACAGCAGCCATCTACCAGATAGGAGATATCGGAGGATATTTGCAGTTATAGGGATGTAATTAAAATGTTTCTCTGGTGTGCATAAATGATTCTTTGACATCTTTCTCTGCTAGATTCCTCAAGCCCAAATTCAGTATCATTATTAAATAATCATCAGCATTTTACTCCTTGTTCTTGCCTGCCTGAGCTCCTGCTACTGTCAGCAATAATCAAGATCATGGAAGGCCAGAAAAGAGCATTTAGTGGTAAAATAGTCAAGAATATTAAAGATAAATCCATGTTATTATATCTACTTTTTCAAATGTCTCAGGCTCTGAATGCAAAGAAGTTTTGTTGGATGCACAGCCAGCAGCACCACACTGCTGCTAGGAAAATGTGATTTCCATAAAATATCTGACAGCTTTCATATTTTTTATTTGTAATGGAATTTGTCATCATTACTGTAAAACCCAAGTCCCATGTCAGCACGTGGAATGGGAAAAAAGACTTACTGCTACTCCCTGCTCAGTCCTTAGACGGAAATGTTATTTGGACCAGAATTCTGACTTACTTTTCACAAACTTTTTAGGAGTTTCTACGGAAATCAGTGAAGCCATTACAGATATAAAAGAGCATTCAAAATGAATAAAAATACTAGATTTTTATGGGACACATATGAAAGCCTCAGAAACCAGTAAGAAATATGACGTGGATGTGAAAGTCTGGCATAGGCCCTGCTGTTAAATGAGCTGATCAACATCAATGCCACTCTTCAGTGTTAAGCAATATTGTGCAGATAGGTATGTATATAGAAATTGGGAAAAACATTTTCTTTACGTAAAAATATACTTTATTGATAGTATACAGATGTACCAAGGTTTAACAAATTGAATCTTACTTTCAACTATGTTGTAACTATGTTTCAGCTTCTGTAAGGCTTTACAGAGGGTCCCACTTGACACTCTTATCTCCAAATTGGAGAGATGTGGATTTGAAGGCTGGACTATTTGAAGGTTAAGGAATTGGCTGGTTGGATGCAGCCAGGGAATTGTGAGGAATGGCTCTTACATCCAGGTGGAGGGGTAGTGACAAGCGATGTCCCTCAAGGTTCTGTCTTGGGACTGGTGCTCTTCAGTATCTTCCTCAATGACAGAGAGAGTGGCGTGGAGTGCATCCTCAGCAAGTTTGAAGATACAAAGCTGAGCAATGCAGCTGACACAACAGAAGGAGGGGATGTCATCCAGGGGAACCTGGACAAGCTTGAGAAGTGGGCCCACAAGAACCTCACAAAGACAGTCTGAGAGAGTTGGCATTGTTTAGCCTCTAGAAGAGAAGGCACTAGGGAAATCTCATTGCAATCTTACATGACTTAAAAGATTGCTCATAAAGAAGAGGGAGAGCAGCTTTGTACATGGATAAAGAGTGATAGGATAAGGCGGAATGGTTTTAAAGTAAAATAGGAGAGATTTAGATTAGATATCAGGAAGAAGTTCTTTACTCAAGGGCACAGTGAGGCACTGGAATACATTGCCCAGAGAAATTGTGGATGGCTCATCCCTGGTAGTGTTCAAGGCCAGCTTGGGTGGGGCCCTCACCAACCTGTTCTAGTGGATGGAAGCCCCACCAATGGCAGAGTGGGGGTTGGAACTTGTGATCATTAAGGTCCCTTTCAACCCAAGCCATTCTGTAATTCAGTGTATATATCTAAACTGTGTGAATCAGCCATAGTATAGTCTGGCACAGTGTAACATGCAAGAACATTTATTTATCTAATGCTAGAGCACTCCTTTTTATCGGTGCATTAACCAACATACACACATGAGGCTTTAATTAGTATTTCATCTGCATTTGTGAACTGTGTCAGCTTCCAAAGGATTTCAAAACCACTTTTCTACTAAAATTACTGTGAAATAATAATTTAGAAGTTCTGTTTTTTTAAATCTTTATAACCAACATGCTGAAGACTACTTGTCAAGGGATTAAAATTTAGCAACTATTTTCTGGCATAATCCTACATTTGAGAATTTTTAAGTAGCTTTGTACTTTATTGGAATCTCTCCTAAAACAGTGAATGAAGTCAGAGTCACTCATCATGTTTGCTTCATTGCTAATTGATAAACCAGTGCTTTCAGATGATGCCATTCCATTTAATGAATTGCTGATGATCCCCATTGACTGCATCTGTATTGAAAACAGGAAAATAAGTACAACTTGTAATTACACGTACAACAAATCTTGAAAATACTACTGCAGAAGACAGCTAAGGTGTCACTATATTGGGCTGTGCTACTCCAGAACTTTCACATACTTACTGAAGATATATGTAAAGATCCTTACATAGAATAACATTGTCTTTTTATCCTTATGGTATCTCTGCAACTTCTAAACTACACTGAAATTTCTTCATACACTGAATACTTAATCTAAGTAGAGGAACCCCTGTTTGGTAATCCTTATTTCCTCTTGAAGTATTATAGCAAATGAATCTTGAGATTTTTTTAGCCATTTATTTTAATATTTTCTGTAAAGGGTAGCTCCTAACATGAGCGTCCACCACTGATGTTTATTTAACCTGGTGAATTCTGCAGAGTGTGATTACCTCTCAGAGTAGGTGCTTCACAACAAAAGCAAGTTTAGAATTTTCCTATTTTAACAGAAAAGCACAGATGCAAAATATGGAATGCATTCATTTTTGTAATTATATTTCTACCCGGTGGTACATCCATAGTACAGAGAAGTCAATACTTGAAAGATTTCCATCTTGGTAATACCTTCAAAGGTGTTTTAGAAAAAAATAAAGCAGGTAAATATACCAAAAGTGTGTAGCTAGTTTAGAGTTTGCTTCAGCTACAAAATGAATCAAAGATCAAGATTTGAAGTTGAACACTTCTAAACTTTAAGGCCATTTTAACCCAGAATCATGGCTGCATTTGGATGATGGAGTTTCCATTTGTAACACTGAGTCATCCTAACCAGGGCTGTGTTTTGTAGCAGGGTACAATTCAGCCTATTCTAGTGATGAGCTGCTTACCATTTTAGAACTTGTATTCCCCACCTGTGTTCCTAAAGTTGAAAGGTGATCTACTAGTGTAAGGTACTAGTTCATTACTCCCTTTGTTTAGTGAAACAGACAGCCTGGCAGTGTAGCCACTTTAGAGAATGAGCACCCAGATTTCATTTGTTCAGTCAAAACCACAGTTAATTTTAGATATAAATGCACAAAAATTGCAAAGTTAGTAATGAGTAGCTAGTAATTCTAGCTAGTAATGAGAAGACAGAAATGGAAATAACGAAGAATTTCATCCAATGATTTATATATGATCTGCCATAATTTGGATTGGAGTTTTGAAATTGTTTTGTGACTGACATCGGACTTAAGCAATGCTACTGTTGTCCTCAAGAACTTATCCCAGCATAAAATTATTGCCTTAGGAAGGAGCTCTTTGATCAGACAGCAGTGATACTTGAATTACTTAGAATGTAAATCCAAATAAAACTTAACACAATTATTAAGCATTTATCATGGTCTATCCACATCTTCTTTACTGGTCTAGAAAACTCAAGTCATTACTGGCTCATATATGAAGCTACGAAATGTTCTAGTTTTTGTACTCATGCGTTGTTCATATATTTCATATTAATAAAATATTTCCTCACAGATGTGGACTCCTATAATGCCATCTACATATCTGCCAATCTATAACTAAGTCACATCCTCTGACAGAAAGTTGACTGTATCTGTAACAAAGTCTTGCATTTTCCTGAGTGAGAGCCTCCAAGCCTGAGTGGAAGCAGACATTGCCCCCTTCCCCAAGTCACCCATGCCTCATAACTGGTATAAATAAAAGCTACATCGAAAATCTTGCCTTTTCTGTTACTTTCTCGACTCCAGTTTTCAGCTCATGTACCATACTGCTGATTTGCTTAGCTTTGTTAAGGCTGTCATCAGGTAGCTCTTGATGGTGCTCAATATGCTGGTTGAAGTGGGAAAGTGGTTCTTTCCAGGCTTGCAAAAGTTTCAGTATCAGGTGAGTTAGTTCTTCTCTCTTAAATATTGAAACAGTAGAGAATGTCTCTGTTACTTTGCAGCAGATCATATGAATGCTCTTAGTCTCGTTGTGAAATCTCAGTGGGATTAAGATTTACATCTGCAATTCACTACTTTTACACCACTCTGTCTCTGGTTATTTTTATATATATAATAATACCCAGAAGTTATATTTCTCATGTTTTCAGCTAACAGGAGCAGGGCCTCATCTTTCATTGCCCTTCCAAGGGACCTTCTAGAAGGACGTCCTGGGGGAAGCTCCTCACTCCATCACAACCAAAACCCAAAATATTAACATTTGACTTTGTCTGTCTCTTAGAGGCAAAAGTTTCTCCCACTGGTGTATCCCCAACATCACAATGTGCTTTTTCTCTGTAGAAGCAAACTCTTCCTGCTCTTCTCTGAACTAATAATGTTTTTTCTCTCTTTGCCATCACAACATATAAACAAATTTGCTGTTCTTTCCCCCTTACTTAACTACCAATTCAGAGATGACTGTTACGTTTTTCTCCTGATTGCTTTTTGTACTTTGCAGTGATACTGATTAATTTAACTTCTTTGCCACACATACAAGTTTCTAAATTTCTGTTCCACTGAGTTTGCCTCAACAAAATCGAAGGATGTCTGTCAGTCATTCTGACACAGTACTACTGCAATATCCTTATTATAACTAGTATATACGATCCAGGCATAGGTAACCACATACCAGATTTAAAATTCAACTAATTTAAGATTCATATACAATACCTCTGTGATGTGCACCTGTTTGGGGTCAAAACTTAGCAGCCTCTTTCATCCAGATTGTTGATGAAGCTCCAGAAGCATAATAACCTCTCTGCCTATCTTCAGCCCTACTGGAGTTGGGGGGCCATTACAGCATGATGAATGAGACATTTTGGGGTTCTGACAGGACAGGAGGTATATTCCCCTTTCTCCAGGGCGGGGAGAAAGAAGGCGATATGACTCCCGGAGTCCCGCTGCCGTCCCCCAAGCGGTACCCTTCTGCCCCGTCTCTGCCCGCCCGCCGGCGTCTCTGCCCTTACCGGGATTTTTTGGGCGTATTCTTTGCCGTTGGGGGTCAGCATCCCCGACGTGTGGCACTTCCGAGCAGGCCTTCCCAGCTTGTTGTCACGGAGAGGAAGGTGTTTTTCCTACGGGGGAAGAACACCTAAACGCACACCGAGAGCACCAGCACCCCGCTACATCCCCTCTTCTACCCTATCCCACCCGTCGGCAGCCGCTCCCAAGGCGGCACAGCCCAGCTCCGCAGCGGCGGGGCCGGCCCGGCTCTTACCAGCTCGGCGTAGAGCGCCGTGGAGAGGCTGTGGATCCTGCCCGAGTGCCGGATCACCCGGTCGAAGAGATCGGCCACGGTCAGGGGGTGACAGCCGGCGTCCCTCGGAGCGCAGAGCAGCAGCCACAGCAGCGCCAGCGCCGCAACCGCACCTGCGGAGAGGGCGGCGACGTCGGGGTGCGGAATGTCGGAGTGCGCCCCGCCCGGCCCGGCCCGGCCCGGCCCGGCCCCGCCGCTCGCTCCCTCCCTCACCTGCTCGTCCCGCCGCTCGGGCGAGGGCCACGGCCATGGCGCTGCGGAGCCCGTGCCCGGCACGGAGCGGCTGCGATCGGCCGGCGATGCCCCCGCATCTCCTATATATGCCGGGATCTCACGGCGGTCACGGGTGTCTCCCCTGACGTGCGCAGCCCGCGGCCACCGTGAGCCAGCCCGCCCGGAGCGGGGCTCACGGCTTGGCGGGAGGACGGGAGCGCCCCCCGTACCGACGGGACCGACTGCCCTCGGCAGCCCACCGGACCCGGCAGGAATGGATCTCCCGGGCTCGGTGGTGGGGCTGCTACCGACCCCTGTCACAGCCCTCCCGTGGGCAGAGCGGGGGGCGGCTCCGGGCCCCCCACAGAAGCCGGGCCCAGCGCGCCCACGGCCGTCCGACAGGGTAAGGGTCGGAGAAAGGAGATCAGGAAAATTGCTTATGTCCGTGGTAACGGGATTTACTAAAGGACAGAAATGAGAAAAATGAGGGGTAGGAGAGAAGCCTGGTCTGATGACATTCATCTCTTAGCCATCTCTTCAAATCACACTGTTAAGATCAGACCTGTTTTTCCTGCTCAGTTGCAGGTGATGTGGGATAAGACTGCTGAAGATGTAATAGCTGGTGACTGCAAGTTTGGTGGTGCAAATATACCTCAGGATGGTTGGTCCCATGAGGCTAAATGCTCAGGGAGTAGTGCATCAAAGAACTTAAATCAGGATCCCTAAAGGGACATGGTTGGTGTCCTCTATTTTGGGGCATGAGATCCTGAGCAACCCTCAGGACATGCAACTAAAGTTGAGGTGCTGGTCATGAGGAAAATAGGTTGACTCTGCCCTTCCTACTGGGGTTTTTCACGGCCAAGGAAAAAGTCTACTTAGAAATGAGGATACATGTGACACATTATCTTTTCTCCCCAGCCACTATGCTGGAGTTGTTTATCTGTTTTCTAGCCCCTAAATCCTGATTTCATTTATGGAAAATGGAAGGAATATACCTCTGCCAGAATGATGAAGATCATTCCTCTCCCCACTTTTTAAGGGCAGCTGGGTGACAAGAACTCATTCTGGAGGAAGAAGGCACGAATTTGATTAGTTCTTAGCCAAGGTGAAATGTAACTGTCACCTACACTCTGTGTGGATACTGGAAAAAAAAACTGGTAGAAAACAAGTAAAGGTAGCTACTTCTCTAGCCAGGTCTTACAAGTAATTGTCTGCCACTTTCTTTTATTTTTCATTTTCTTTTATTTTTCATGTGTCTTGGAGAAATCCCGATATATGTATATCTTATAAATGTTCCTTAAAATATTAAATTTTTAAGTTTTGAAGGAGCAATGAACTTTAACTGTGGAAAATGTAAATTACTTGAGCAGCAACTCTGCCCCTTCCAGCTTGCTAATGATTTATAGTGCAAAATCAACTGGAGTTCATTATGTATTCAAAAAATCACTCCTGAATTTACATCATGAAAGAGTAAAAGCTGTAATGAAAAGGTTTGTTTCAACCAAATACTGTACACTATTGATTTGAACCTTTTCCTATAACAACGGGCACATTTTACAGCTCAAGAAAAGACACATACTTCTGCTCTGAGAGTTGATAACACAAGCTCTTGAATGAAACATTATGAAAATTATGTAACCTGGATTTTAAAAGGGAAAAGAAAATAGAGTTGGCTACCTGCTTAAAGGAGTAAACCACTTTCTGAAGGCTTGATCTCAGATCTGTGTTTTTTGAGTTCTGTAAACAGAATCACTTCATGTAGAAGTGTCTGACTTTTCTCTTACTTCTCTGCTCTTCTCTGTCTTCTCTATGGAAACAGTTATCCAATTCATGTCTCCCTGCTTTCACATAGTAATAACTAAACTTGCTGATTTTTTCTTGATTTGTGTTGCTCTTGACTGTTGCAATCTTGAGACTCCAAAGACATAGACGATACAAAGTAAGTAAAAATACAGAGTATTTTTCATTAGATCTATTGATATAGCTGGAAAATGGAAACTACGTTTTTAGGCAATGTGAGCTTTTTTCAGAGTGAAGCTGAAAAACTGTCGATCAACTATTAATTTAAAAAAAATAAATTGTTTGCAAACCTCATCATGCTCTGGGTTGTATATTTCTTGCCTTTGTATCTTTCTACTTCTCCTTCCTCTCACTCTTCACAGTATAAACATTTTTTAGTCCCCTCATCTTAAAGCAACTGGTTGTTGTCTCTGGTTGTCACTCTTGGCAAAATCCATCCTTACCCTCCGTCTCATTAAATAACTTCACTCACTGAGAAGTTGCTTCCATTCACTAATATCTGGTGGTGCATGGTTTTGCCTCTTGCTTCTCAGGTGAGCTCAGGGTGATGAGTATAGACTGAGCTAGGGAAGAGAAATCTCATTTTTTGTTTGCAAATGTAGTCCAGGAGCTGAGGGAGCATGTGCTCGACACACCAAATGGAGCAGGTGTGCTGTTTATTTTTCTACTCCTTTGCTGGACAGCCTCCTACAGACGTTGCATTTTTGCCTCCCTTGGGGCGACAGAAAGATCTGCTACTTGTGAGTGATTGTACCACACAAGGAGAGACAAACATGTTTTTGAAACACCTGCTCTATCCCAACCCTCTGAAGGAGATTAGTTCCTTAGCTAGTGTGCTGGCTACTCATGAGAATGAACTTCTGTGCTATTTTAGGCAAAACCTGTAATGCACATAATGATTAAGTAAAACTGAAGATACAGACCCAGTTAAAAATTCAAGTACGTCAAGTTCTGGAACCCTTCATTATTGTTATTATAATGTGTTCTTTTACATCCTGCTAAAGTGGTAGAATCAGTTGTGTAAAGACAGATTGTGGTCTATGTGGAGTGCCTGAGCAGAATATTGCCATGCTGAACAGATATTACTGTAAATCAATGATTTTCACCATACTAAGCATCATGCAAGTCAAGTGGGAAAATCAATGTCTTAATGGTTTATTTATAAAGTGACTTTTTTTTCCCTAGGATATTGTTTCAATTTATTTTTGAAGATGAGAACATTTCTGTTCTCATCTCTGTTGGCTTCAGTGGGCTTGCTTATGTGTGTGAATTTAGATCTATCTGATAGAAGATTTACTTAATGTTGATTTGGAAGGAGAGATCGAATCACAGGAAAAAAGGTGAAAACTGATCTTCATTAAAACTTGAAAGGCTAATACACCCTATGAAATCTTAACTTGGAATCTTAGGTCCTTTTCTACACAAACTTTTGTTTGTGAAATGTAATTATTTCAAATTGACATTATATATATTTATTATTATATTTATTTATTATCTTATATTTTATATAAGATTTTGTGTATTTCAGTTTTACAATTGGTCTTGAATGTAGCCTGGCTAAAAAAACTGGATTTGAGCATGAAAGGCAGAATCTATAATTCTGTATATAATTTAGGTAATGAAACTTGAGAAGAAAAAAAGTTCTGCATTCTAGGATGTTCAGTTCCATTGAAGAACGTTCTTATTTATAAATGCAAAATATTTCTAAAATGTATTAAGACATTATTTTAAAAAGAAAGATATGATTGAACCCTACTACTTGAATATTGACAGATGTTCTTACTGTCTTAACATTACTGAGAGAGGTGAGGTGTAATATTTTACCAGCTGCAGATATTGGGAAATCCTACAATGGAACTTCATTTTCATCAAAACCATTATAAAGGAAACTAGTCTTCTTAAAGGAAGTTGCACTCTAGCTATAAAGGTGCATCATCATCCTTTCTAATTCTTATAGTGTCCATATAGGATATTCTACACTGTGTTTCTGATGTCTGTAGTAATACTAAATATTTCAAGTTTAGCTGTATTTCTCCTGATATGGAGTGTGTCACTGCTGTGTCAAGAGGATCAGTAGTAACATAATAAAAAGATGTGTTAAATTTTAGAGGAGATGGGCTTGTATTTGAACAATCGCTTTTGTAGAGAAAAATAAAATTATGCATTTAATGTTTGTAAGTGCATCAAGCAAAAATGCATTCTTTATCTCATGATCAGAAATTGCCTGGAGATAAATTTCAGGCAAAATCTTCACCTCAATTCTGAGAATTTTAAGGAAATTCCGATATCTCTGTCACACAAAGGTGGCAATTTCAAGGCCATGTCCCGGTGTGCATGCAAGTCTGTAAATCGGCTTTAGCTGACTTTAATAAATACTGGGTTAGACCATTGTGATGGTGTAGCTCCAATAACTTTGGTGTATGTACTTTTGGTTCACTGATGTCACAAAAATGAGGTTTGGGTCCTGAGTCTATATTATTGATAAGCATTTGCAGTTGAAAATGAACTACAACCCCAGGGTTGTATTGAAATGAACTACAACCTCAGGGTTAATTCTTGTAATATCCATCTGGAAAGAATGCATGTTATGTCCTCTGTTTAGGAAATCAAATTATTTAGAGCATTTAGTGAAGTAGGAAAGAAGATACAAGGACTGTCCACAGATTTGAAATTATGATTCATTTAAATTGTGACTTCCCACCTACCACCATATTGAAGTCATCATTATAGAACAGAATCTTGTCAGAGGTACCAAAGGTCCAAGTTTTGAGTGTAGTGTGGACATAAACTAACTGCAGTTAATTTAACATCTAGCTAGTGTCACGTGTTGCCAAGATATGCCTTCTCCACTGATATGATAATATTTTACAGCATAGAGGAGTTGGCAATATCTCAAGCTTTGCTTTTTTCATAGCAGTACTCACTGCTATGGAGGAAAAATGACATAAATATATAGGTCCTCCATTTTTAAAAATACTTTGTAGTTTCTGCTACATTCTTTTCATAGTCTAAAGTATTATCAAGGCATTTGTTATTATAAAATGCTCCTTGCTGGAGTTGGAAATACTAACTATGCTATGGAATCTTCTTTTGCCCTCTTTGTGCACAAAAGCTAATATGTTTAATGACATGACAGAATGGTATTTTTCTCATGGCTTCTACTTTGGTTTATTCAACTGAATAAGTGGCCATTGAATTTTGGTTTTCTCCTGTTGTTCACTGTATGCTCTCATGGCT